CTTGACAACTTAGATGAAATGGACAAATTTTTCAAAAGTCTTAACTGAAAATAAACAGAACATTTGACTACTCCTGTTTATTAGAAGGAACTCGGTCGGGTCGTGGTAACCAAATGCTGCCCTGGGGGGAAGCTGAGGCAGTCTGCTCCCAAGATTTACAGCTTTGATGGGGGACTGGCATGTGAGCAGGGGGGTGATTTCAATTAATTTTTATAAAAGTTATTTAATTCATCATTTTAAAACTTTCCACAAATAAAAGTCTTTTCCCATATGATGGTACAGATGAATTCTATCACACATTTAAGGGGGAAAATATTTACTGATCTTAAACACTTCCAGAAAACAGACAAGGACACGTCCCCATTCCTTGAAAGAGGTCAGCTTTACCAGACAGAGATGTTCAAAGAAAAAACTATTGCCCACTATGTGGCATGAACATAACTGCACGAATCCCAAGAAAATAACGGCAACCGGAATTTAGCAATATAGAAACAAAATAACGGGTCCCAAACAAGCAGTGTTTATATTCAGAATGTTTTTAGGATTGCGCGGTCGCGTGTGAGCAGAGGCACAGCTGACCCTCCAGCAGGTTTTCAGACAGCAAATCCCACGGGAGCTGACTGCCCATCTTTTTCCCATGGAGCAGCTGGTGGACTTGAACCATGTGCCTTTGGTTTGACAGCGCATTTCCTTACCACTAGCCCACCAGAGGTCCTGATTTTAATGTTAAAGCAACGCAATTGACTACATTAATAGAATAAAGGAGAAACCTTACATAATCCTTTTGGCAGATGCAGAAAAGTCACTTGATTCACTATAGGAACTTTCAGCAAACTAGGACTCTTCAACTGAAAGAGGAAGGCCCTCATGCAGGTGGCTGACATAGCGGCTGCAGCAAGGGGCCTGGGGGCCTCAGAGCCTGTGAGGATGCCGCGGGGTAAGGTGGGGCTCAGATCGTTGTTCACAGGGTTGCTATGAGAAAGACAACCTCTCACGATGTATTAAAAGAGACCGAATGAATGAGCAGAAGCTCAGAAGGACTGCCTATAACCAATAAAGATAAGGGGGCATCTTGGAGACCTGGGGTCCTGCCTAAAAAGTGGACTAATGCCAAGGACTAGCTCCAAGACTGACACAGACAGAAAGCCTCTCCCTGGAGCCAGCACCCTGAACTTGAACTTGTAGCCTCCTAACTATCCATGTCTGTGGAAGCCATCCTCAAGACATTCAGTACAGCCACATTAAGTAACTAAGGCAGTCCACTCTCGGTACTTCAGCCCCAGGCTTCAGAAAGAAACAGCCAGCCCTGCTTCAAACCCCAGTGTGACTCCCAGAGCCTGCTGGGTGACAGAGACGAGATCCAGACCTTACGGGACCCTGGAGGCCTTCGCCCACCCGTCCGGTTCCAGCACTGGCCACACCTGACCCCACTCGACATGACATTCTTCCCAATCTCAAGGGCAGGTGCCCCATGACACCCCCAGGCCCTCCTCCACACTTGCCTGACTGCAGGCAGGTTCAGGTGACCCACCACCACCATCTGCCCATTCGCTCCACCAGAGTGAACCCCCGCAAGTGTACCTGTGTTTGGATGGTCCTCTCTAACAGGTGGGGTCTGCCGCGACTGCAGGTATGCTAGGGGTCTCAGCCACATCCCCAGAACCCAGCTTCATACCTGCCACTCCACACCTGCCTCCTGTGTCTTGAGAACGAAAGGTCTGGAGGGTGGAGCGGTGCTTGGCAGCCTGTGGCTCCTGGTAGATCTCCTCAGCGGGGCTTGAAGGAGCAGGAAGGAGTCTGACAACAGGGCACAGGGACACACGCACAGCGTCACAGACACCCATCATCACCCCTTCCAGACACACACACACACGCTGCCTCCAGAACCCCAGATGCAGGACCAGCCCCAGCCCGACTGGCCTCTCCTTGTCACTCGAGCACTTCACTCTGCGCAGGGCACAAGAACCCAGGTCCTTACCACAGCATCTGTGCCTCGGGTCTGCATGGCCAAGGGGTGAGGATGATGAGAAATAGGAAGTGATGAGGAACAGGAAACTCACTGAGTGGCAGGGGGCAAAGTCTGCTGGGATGGGCAGGGATCAGAGACGTCCACATCCCACACCTAGACCTGTCAGGCGGGATCTGCCTGGGCCCTGGGCCACCTGAGGGCTGGGCAGTGTAGTGATCCACGCCCTTTCAGCCCACTGCAGATCCTGGATGGACCTGGCCATCCCCTGGGCTGGGCCCTCGGCACATAGTTGGACATAGGCTGGGCCTGCCACTGGCTGCTACCCGGACAGGTTCTTGGAGGCCCAGGCCGGGAGCTGCTACCCGGCTGAGCCTGGGCAGCCGGGCCAGCCACTGTGACTGGGTAAGCTCAGGCCTTCTTCAGGTCCATGGTCCCTCCTTAGCAGAACTCAGGGTTCGGCCCCACCTCAGCGTCAGGGCCCAGAGGACAAACCAGACAGTCAGAGCATCGCACACAGGGCACTTGATGAGCGAGGCTGGAATCTGGACCAGGCACAATCCGTGAGCCCCCCCAGGGCCTGTGAGCCTGGCAAGGAGCCTGGCCAGAGATGTCCATGATGCTGAAGGTAGTGCTGGCAGCACCCCATTGTACCCCAAGAAAAAGGAGTGGAGACAGCAACAGCTCAGGCACACACAGCCTGCTGAGTAGTCAGCCCCTGAAGCCAGGTCCTAAGAGTCCCTGTGGTGGGTCCTCCAGGGCCCATGGGTGGTGCCTGGGCCACATCAGATGGGTTTCTGGATAGAGAAAAGACCACAAAAGGCCAACTGGTGAGAGCTAATGATGACAGGAGCTGGGAACGAGGAAGAGAAGAGAGGCTGATGATGCGAGAGACCACAGGCTGAAGGAATCAGCAGGGCACTGACAGTGGGAGGGGCTATGATGATGGTGGGAGTGGCTAGGTTGCCGGTAGGAAGGCTATAGAATGGCGGTGAGAGAAGCCGGGGACTGTGGTGGGAAGGACAGGACGTGCTGACCATGGGACAGGCTGACAGCGGAGGGGCAGGGGCTGGGTAGCCATGCTGCGCCCCTTTCAGAGCTGCGCTTGTGTCTCTGATGGTCCTGCACTGTCTTCCAGTGACCCCAGTGGGTTGGGTCTATCTCAGTGGCACTGGGACCCCTCAAATTAAGGATGCGGGGGCGGGATCAGGTCCCCTGGACATCAGGTGATCTCAAAGAGTGGGGGCAGGGCAGGGGTAGTATTTCTTTCAGGCAGGCTGTGTGGAGAGGCTGAGCCAGGGGAGGGGAGGGAAGGGGGTGAGGGTGGGTGGGATCACCTTGCCTCTCCTCTGCGTTCACATGAAGTACCAGGGGCGTTTCTGCCAGGGAGGGCCTGACTGGGTGACAGGTCAGAGCAGAGGCTGCCCAGACCTAGCTCGAGCACGCCCTCTGGAGTCTCAGAGCCTCCTCGCCTAGTATCCCCTCGCTTGGCCAGTCTTGCTGTCCTAAAAGACCTGGAGCAACCTCAAGGCAGTGGCTGACCTCAAGGGAGGCTGACTTCTGTAAGGACTCCTCTGTGGCCCCCGAGGGCAGGGGTGGACCTTGACATGCTCCACTCTTGCTGGTCCTACATCTTCCTGCACCCACCAGGTACATTCCAAGCACCCCCGAGGGTTCAGGCCATGCTATTGTCTAAACAGGCCACCACAGGGTGTCCATCCAGCCTCATGGGGAAGGGGTGGCCACACAGTGTCACAAGCCCGCTCCCTGTGAGCAGCCAGCCTCCTGAGTCCCTCAGCCCACCTGCCCTGACAGCCCAGCCCGGTGGTCCACCTTGCGTGCCCAGACTCGTGCCCGGTTTTTCCACTCCGATAAGCACCTGCCTCAGCAGAGCCTCAGCAGAGTCCCCAGGCTGTGGGTTTCAGCACCCGGCTGGCCAGAAAGGCCCTTTCCCCGACTCCCCACCCCAGCTCTCTAACCAGGATTCCATGCTGACTGAGGGCTCTCGGCCCTCCCCTCCCCAGAGACAGCACAGGGTTTCAGCAGAGGGACGCACCCCTCCTGCTCCCTCCCACCCAACCCTGCCCCTAGCACTAGGTGATGCCCAGGTACTGCCCAGCTGTGCAGACAACTGGATGTGGTCCACTCCTCCATGCAAACTGAGCTGGGCTTTCAGGACACACCCCTTACCCCTGGCCCACATCTGCTTGATGACAGGAATACCACCTGGGTCTGCAGACAAGGGGATGGGGCCCTCAGGACCCCACAGTTGTGTGTGCTGACACAGACGGGGGGATCCATCACTCAGATCTGTGGAAGCAACCCCAAAGTGCATCCTGGACCCTTCCCAGTGCTGATCTCAGTAAACATGAAAGACCTCAGCTCACAGGGGAAGGGACGTCCTGGAGGGAGCTCCAGGCAAAGAACTGGAGGCCTGCCCCCAGGGTCAGTTACGCTCACTCTGTCCAAAGCACAAAGGTCCTCTCTCTTGCTCTCAGGGACTCCCCACCTGCACCCATCCCCTATAACCTCTGTACGAACCTGTCCTTCCCAGCCCCTAGCCTCATCTGTGCTTACCTCTTCGCTCACTGCCCACCTTTGGGGGAGGCTAGGCAGAGCCCTCCCCACCCCCACTGCCCCCTTACAGACTGCAGACTCGAGCCTGGGGCTGAGACCAGGAGGTATCCACTTGTTTATTTAGAAAACTTGTTAAAAACATTTCCATTCACAGTTTGAAAGGGAAGACAGTTGTCTGTGGCATTAAGGCCTCTCAGGTCAAGGAGCTGGTCAGGGTGCGGTGAGCTCTGGCCGGGCCTGAGGACTCCGTCCAGCTCCTCTGTCTCAGGTTTTGCTGGGCCTACGGCCCGCAGGCAGCCATGGGGCCCCCTAGCCTCCAGCCCCTGACTTCACCACTCTCCAGGCAGCCAGATGCAGATGCCACAAAGCCAAAGGCGAGCCGGCCATTAGTGCCCACGCCCTGGGTGGTGGAGGGCAGGTGGAGTCCTGTCACAGGAGGCAGCACACAGTCACCTGGTCAGGTCTTCATCACGGCAGTGAAGGTGGCCTGTGGAGGAGACGGTGAGACCCCTCAGAGCCACAAGCGGCCACCCTGCAACCCCGCTCCACCACCCACACATACCTCCTGAAGGGGCTGTCCCAGGCTCTCCCGACTCTGGAGGGACCACCTGCAAGAGACAGCCATCAGCCTGGCCTAGTGGACAGCAAACATCCGCCTGGGACTCTCCCATGGGGACCTCTCCGTGCCCAGCCCACCTGTCTATCCTGGTTGATATGGTGACAGTGAAGGATGCTTCTATGTCAGGCAGGTAGGTGGAGGGCACGACCCCATAGGTGCCTGCAGGCAGGCGGCACAGCTGGCTCACCTCCAGGGCGTGGCGGTGAGGCACACAGCTGGACAGGGGCTCCTGGTCCAGCAAGGAGGAGGCCTCTGGGCTCCCCGAGCCCTCTGGCACCTGGCAAGGCAGGACTCAGGTGAAGAGGCAGTGTGGGCTGGAAGGTGACCCTGGGGGGTGCAACACCCACCTTTCCTAGCACCTCACCCCCTCCGCTAGGGTTCTGGAGATCTGCCCTCAGCAGGCAGGCCCCTGGGTCCCGGACTCTGCAGGCTGCCTCCCTCGCCTCTCTCAACCACCACCTCTGACCAGGGAGGGCCCTGTGGGGCCAACAGTGCCTTCAGCAGTGGTCTCTGCCCTGGCTTCATCACTCGACAAAGCCAATGGCAGCACAGAAGCAGAGTCCTCTGTCTTGGGGCCTTGTCCTGCAGGTGACCACAGCCAACAGACAAGTCCTCTATCCTGCAGGGTGACCACTGCCACTGCTGATGAGGAGTCCTCTGTCCCTGGTCCTCGCCCACAGCATGGCAGGCTTCTTCCACCCAGAGCGAGGGGTTGCTGTCTAAGGACTCTGTGAATGTGGGACCTCTGACACTTAAGAACGGGCTTATGTAGACACTGTGATTGACTATCTGGCCAGCCTCAGCTGTCACCCAGAGCCCCTCGACTGCTGAGCAGCCCCAGTGACCCCTCGCCCCCTGCCCTGCCCAGCAGCCCGAGAAGCCCCTTGGGAGCCTTGCCTGGAAGACGTGGAAGCCAATCGGGTGGCAGGCGCCATCCTGGCAGTGCTGGCGCAGAGTGATACGGACACTTTGGGCACTGCTGCCCGCAGGCACGGAGAAGAGGAAGCAGGGATTGCTGCGGTACGAGCTGAAGTTCCGGCTGCCACCTGCCGTCTGCCCTGCCCGCCAGCAGCCCTGCAGCTGCACTGTCTCCCACTCCCCTGCAGAGACGCCGTCCCCAAGGGCTGGGCTCCTGGGAGCTTGCTTGATGGCACTGCAGGAGGGAGACAGATGCCAGGCAGAGGGCCAAGTGGCAGCCGGCCTTGGAACGGGCGAGCAGAGGCTGACTGAGCCTGGAGCCCAGGGACCCCAAGAGGCACCCACCTGAGGGACAGCCTTCCTGAGGAGAAAGCGCGGAGCAGAAACTGGCCTGCCATGTCCTTGAGGAAGGTGCTGGGCACGGCCAGGTAGTAGCCAGGGGTGAGCTCACAGCACACGTGGACCTCCCGGTCATAGGCATGGCAGGCAGTGCCAGCCGCAGGGGGCGCAGACAGGAGTGCGGGCAGGTTGACCCTCCGCTTCTCTACCTGGGCATTGAGTGCAGGCTCAGAAGGGCCCCTCAGGGGGATCAACGGCGGACTGGAGAGTAGAGGCTGGGGGAGGTCCTCTCAAGGCCAGGAGCGGCCCCATAAAGCTGGGCACTTGGCCTGCTGGCCAGGAGGCATCCCTGGCATCCACCTCCACACCCTCACGCTGAAGGGCCGTACCCAGATAAGGCAGCCCCAACGCCATCACGTCCTGCTCCAGCTGGGCAGGGGCCCCGCCCAGGAGTTACCTTCCACACGTGCAGGCCCACGGCCTGGAGGTCCTTGCCCAAGCAGCTGGCGGGGCCGCTGGAGGCAGCCCGGCTCTCTCCCGTCCGGCTGACCGCACGCCCCCTGGGCCTCTGCAGGATGGCCAGGCACACCTCGCTCGGCTCGCAGACGCGCAGCCAGAACTTGGGGTTGCTGGGGAAGCTGCTGTTGTTCCGGCTCCCTCCAGCCGACTGCCCTCGGACCCAGGCCCCAGGCAGTGACTGTGTGTGGCACAGCACCTTTCCTAATGGGCACAGGAGGCCAGTCATCTCAGGGCCAGGCCTGGGAGCTGGCAGCCTGCTCAGGGCAGGAGGCAGGGAGGGTGGGCAGAATGCCAGCCCCTGCCAAGAGCCCTGGAATTGGGAGAGGCAGAAGCCCAAGCTACCTGAGTGGAGACTCTGCAGATGGCCATCCTCTGAGACAGGAAAACTGAGGGTCAGCTCATCAAACTCTCGCAGGAACTCCTCCTCCTCCACCCAGAACTCCCCCTCCTGTAGCTGGGACAGGAGGGCCAAGGCCTCTGCAGCCTCCACCTGGCTCCACCCTTCACCCCTGGAAAGGACCCCGCCCAGTAAGACACCAGCAGGCAGCCACCAGGACACAAGCAGCCTGGGCAAGTGGCCAAGAAAGCAGACCAGAATGTACATCATCTATCTGCTGCCCCCTCCACACCCAACCCTCTCTGCAAGGACTCCCCAGCACCCACCCCTCTGTAGGATCCCCCTCGAGCACCCACCCCTCTCTCCAGGGTCCCTGGCCCGGTGCCCACCCCTCTCTCCAGGGTCACTGCCCCGGTGCCCACCCCTCTCTCCAGGGTCCCTTCCAGCATGGTCTGCCCCAGGGGTTGTGGATACGAAGCAGCAGGACACCCTTGCCAGCCTGGCCCTGGAGCTCCTGGAGGTCTGAAATAATGAAGGCGTGGAACTCCCCCAGCTCTTGGGCTCCTGTGTAAGCGGCAGAGGAGGGCGAACATCAAAAACCCCAGGCCGAGAATGTCCACCTGGTTGCAGTAGGTCCTATTTGTTTGGTGTGTGGATTTTGTGGTAGAAATATAATACTTTTATAATTTCATAAATCTAGGAGACGTGAAACCTTCATCAGTGGAAAAGGTGATCAAAGAGCAGTGACGCGGTGGGACAGGGAGTGCGGCGTGCACAGATGGCTGAGCGCCCGAGAAAAGCCTTGCATCAGGGAAAGACAGGCAGCGGGGAGAGCCAGGCAGCAGGGCACAGGCGTAAACCCCAGAGAGCACACACCAAGGCAGACGCTGCCTTTGCCTCTTTTCATTTCTTTCCTTTGCTAATAAGCTTCTTTAAGGGGCAGGTCTACTGCACGGTGACCGTGCTGGGCTGAAAACGGCCTTGCTTTCCAAGGTGTCTTTCTCGTGGCTCTAATCCACCACCTGCTCCACAGAAGAGACGGGCAGCCTCCTGTCTAACTTACAGGCTCACACCAACAGAGGGTCCGCTGCGGGGGGTTCAGACCTGCAGCAGTTACTATCTCTGTGGAAGCAGCATGCCCGTCTCTCTCCCGCAGAGCTGCTGTCGCCTTTAAACTTCAACCTCCCATTCAGCAGCAGCGCTTACCCACTGCACCACCAAGGCTCTTTTTAATAAGCCTCATTATCATTGGTGACAGGGAGTTGGAACCCACCCAGCTGACCCTCCAGCGGGTTTTCGGAGGCAGTGAATCTCACGAGAGGAGACTGCCTGTCTTTCTCCTGTGAAGCAGCTGGTGGATTTGAACCGTGTGCCTTTGGGATTTACAGCGCTTCTTACCAAGAGACCAGCACCATCCCTCAAAAGAAAGTGTGACTGTGCCTGGCTGCCAGACACTGCAACCTGCTTCTCAGACCATCCGCTGAGCCACCAACACAGGTCCTCACCCTGTGCTGGTGGTCAGTACTGGCTGACTGCCCTGGACCCCCAGTGGGCCCAGCACCCTGAGGCGGAGCCACGCCAGGCCCTCACCTGCTCTGGGGCCGAGCACCGAGCAGCTCAACAGACACCTGTCCTTCACATGAAGCAGCTGATGCAGGGTCCTGCGTCCCCCACCACTGGGCTTGTCTTGGGCGTCACTGGCCTTCACTAAGTCCTTCAGGTTCCACCGTTCCGCCAGGCCTCCAGTCAGGTCCACCAGGGCATCTGCCACCTGCCCTGCCCACAGGTGCTCATAGGATCCATGGACCCTGGAGCACAAGGGGCAGGCAAACTCAGGCACCAGGCCTTGCTCCAGCCCTGCAGGGCCCAGCGCCCTGCCGCCTTCTGCCCCATCGCCACTCACATGGGGAACCCTCATACCCTTTAAGCACAAACACAGGCCAGGGGCCTGGAGAGCAGGGCCTGAGCCCCAGAAAGAGGCGGAGGGTCCACTCTGTCCAAACAAGAGTCACCCTGCACACCTGCTGCCAGCATGGGCACCATAAGGGACTGGCATCTGATAGCCAGTGAAAGCCGTGACCCCTGGGTCAGGACCTGAGCCCTCCCCACCCAGGAGAATTGTCTCCGAGTCCAAATACAAGGAAGCCTTCCGTGCTGACGTCTACAGAACCAAAATGAGAACCCAAGCTGCTTCGCGGAAGATGAACAATCTCCTCCAGGGCGGCTCACTGCCTAGAGGGTCAGCTGTGAGTGAAGGAGTCGCTGTCTCCTTTTGGCTCTGCCCAACCCAGAATGAGTTAGCAGACCCTCCAAGGAGCTCCCACACTGAAGGGCGAGGTGCAGCTCCCCGCCCGGGCCTCTGAAAAGGCCCTCCATCCTGCAAGGCCCTAGCCCTGCTCCACACCCTAACTGCTCCCCACTTGGTGAAGGCCTTCCCTGGCCCCGCCCCCTTGGTGAAGGCCCTCCCCGGCCCTACCCCACCCGGGGCGACCGTCTCTGGCCTTCATTGCCATACTTGGCGTAGACCTTCTCCAGCAGAGGAAGCCAGAATACATCGTCGCTCTGGCATCGGGAAAAGCAGAGTCTCCCTGCGAGACAAGGTAGGCGGTCATCCACGGTCACCTCTACCCATTGTCCAAACTGCCACACACAGCAGGTGAAGTAGCCCCGGTATGCAGGGTCCGGCCAGCATGGCTGTCCTGGGGGAATGACCTAGCAGGCACAGAGACAGCAAAAGGAGCTGTGGCGCCTGGGGCCCCTCAACCACACTGCACCCCGAGATGGTGCTGTGGAGGCCAGCGCTCCAGGGAACTGGACTGGCAGTCTTGAGCTATCCTGAGGGGCAGCCTAGTGCCGCTGGCCTGGCTGCAGATGCATTCCCCAGAAAGAACACTGGCTTCACCAAGCCAGCCCAGGCCCACCTCGAGCTGGCTAGCCGGAAGCAAGGCGAGGGCAGCTTCAGCTCTCTGTCAGGGGAGGACAGTTGTGTGTGGGGCTGTGCGCCAGCTCAGTGATGCTCTGACCAGGCACATGCAACGAGGCCAACGCTGTCACCACAGCCCTCATGCAGCCATGGTCCAAGCCAGGGCAGCTGCCTGCCTGCAGTGCCTGGCTGGGCCGCTGGCCAGTTCTAACAGTGCTTTGGTAACTTCCAACCAAAACCCGTGAAAACTCACGAGCCCGAAGAAGTGCAGCCTGGGTGCTGCTTAGGGTCAAAAATCCTCGACCTCCAACTCACAAACTGTGGCCATGTGTCAGGAGCCAGTCCTGAGGAAAGGGCAGCCACTGTGCTTGCAAGAGTAGAGTCATCAAAGCAGAAGACCCTCCGTGACAAGGACTGACGTGGTGACTGCAACAAGTGGACTGGGAGGACTGTGGAGCTAGCACAGACTCAAGACTGGGCAGGGTTTCATCCTACTGTGCACAAGGTACACGGGGGTCTCTGGGCACTCCACGCACTCAGCAACAGTCACTACCCCACATGAGTGTCCAAGCGCCCCCTTGGATGCCATGCTTGTCACTGTGGTCATGTTAGCCACAGTGACCCTGGCACTGACCACACGGATGCCCAGTGCTCAGAGCAGGGTGAGCAGAAGCCCCAGGCCCGCACCTGTTCCAGGAGGCGCCGGCTCTTCTGCAGGGCGGCACAGGCGCACAGGAACCAGCAGTCCCCCAGCAGTCCCTGCTTCACCTGCCCCTCCTGGGGGTTGTCTGCAAAGAGCCGGGGGGAGGCACAGAGCTCCTGAAAGGAGGGAGAGCGCAGTCACCTTCTGCAAGGTGCCCAGCTGACCCTGGCTGGCTGCTCCTGACCAGCTTTGCCGCCTCAAGGGGCTCCTCCTGGCTTCAGCCCCCTGTCCCGCCCCACCTGCAGTCTGCCTCCTGACAACCAACAAAGGCTGGACCAGCCACTCTCACCCAGAGTGAGTCCTCAGCACCACACAGCCTGGGCCTGCGGGGACCTGCTGCTTCCTCACACTACCATGCTAACCAGAGGGCAGAGGTTTGGATCTGCGCGCTGCCCTCGTTCCAGCAAGGCTGGGGTCCTTCCATCTGCCATTGGCAGATCTGTGCAGAGGAGAAGCCTTCCACACAGGCATCGGAGGCGGAGTGAGCCTTCCCAGCCTGGCTCCCACAGGGCGGGGCCAGGGCCATGGAGTGTGGAAAGGGTCCACGCTGCTTTCTTTCCCCCAGATTCAGACACACTGGACTCGGTCCAGTCTGGTCACTGCTCTGGGACAGAGGCCTCGTTCCCCAGGTCCCGGCTGAGGGTCCCAGAGCGCCAAGGCTGCATCCTGTGCCACCGTCGTCTGACCCCAGGTGACCTGGGTCCCTGCATGAGCAGCTGACCTTCCCACTTGCCCACTGAGCAGCAGGACTGCTGCTGGACAGGCGTACTCAGCAAATAAACTAAAAGTGTGCTAACAGTTCCAAAAGAACCCCAGATCACAGCATCCCTTCAAACTCCAAAAGAGAAGGCAGGTGAGCAGCGTCCAGACACCAGAACTCCCGGGGCCTCCTGGGCAACGCGGCTGTCTGTGGCTGGACCATGCCAGGTCCTGGTCCTCTCCCGAGCACAGCCCCCGTTAAAAGGCCACTCAGGGGCCTGCGATCCTCCAAGCCCTCATTCGCCACCCTTGCATGGTCCAGTCCGTGCTGACCCCGGAGAAGAGCCGCTGCACGGGCGTTTCCAGGTGGTGAACTTTGAGAACCGGACCACCAGGCCTTTCTGCTGACCCACCGTGGCTTCCAGCCCGGCTCAGCCTCCCCTCTACCCGGCGACCCCTAGAGCCTCAAGGCCAGGCTGGGCACCCGAATGGGCTTGAGGAATCCCGAGGCCGGACAGGGGCGCCTGGGAACTGGGTCTGAGCCTGCGAATTCTGGGCCGGGAAAGACCTCCATCCCGCGTACGCCCCGCTGACCTGGCTGCCTGCCCCGCGCCCGCCCCGCTGTCCACCCCACTGCCCGCCCCGCTGTCCACCCCACTGCCCGCCCCGCTGACCCGGCTGCCCGCCCCGCTG